TAATATATATTTTAAAAACAGTAAGATTTCAATTATGTGTTCAAATATATAGACTAATTTATTGAAACTAACCTGGAAAAATAAATATAAAAAGTATATTCAAATATAAAACAGGAGATAAAGTTCTCCTTTTTAAATTTAATTGGTGCATTTTAAGTGTATTTATTTAGTGGCTTGTATATTTCTGCTTTTATTTTTAATGATGTCAGTTTTGGTCCTCCGTACTGCAGAAGCCTGATAATCATCTATTCGTTCATATCAGGTGTGTTGGAGCAGAGAAACAAGTAGAACATGCAGGACTGCGGCCCTCCAGGACCACGATTGCCCACGCCTGCTCTAGGTACATGATGAGAGCATTTCAAGTACCTTCAAGTTTGTGGGTCATTTAGTATTTCTTATATCTGCTGCTCAGTATCAGATTTCTGCTTAAGTCTCAAAGTCAAAATACTTTCAATTATAGCAGCTCTATTATTTAAGGAATTTCAAACTATTTAAGACAAAGTCATATTTTGCAGAAAAACAGAAATGCATACAGGATTTTACCAACRAGGAAGCGCTGCTGTTGTTCCAGTTCTCTGATGAAACAGCGTGAAAGAACAATCTTTCACTGTGAAAAACTTTGTCAAATGAGCATAATGAGCCAGACTTCTCACTCCCCGTCACCGTATGAATATTCATGTTGGTGAACAGRGAAAACTAGAAAATTCCCAAAGATATATGTTTGGGTCTCAGTGCAGCTACCGGCCAAATTTTCAACAAACATCGACTTTCTTCCATAACGTTCCATAATGAGCTGACTAAACACCTACACGTCGATGTATAACAAAAACCAAGACCAAATTAAATGTTTATTAGGTAACCACACACCTGTGTCTCACTCCCTGACAACATATTCAAAAGAGAGACAGAAGCAGACTAAAAAGTAAGTCTCAAGCAGTCGTATGGAAACTGACGAGTATCTGAAAACACATTTTAGGCAAATAAAGTATAAAATCAGTTTAGCACAAGTTGATCAGCTCTAACTTTTTAATGGTTATTGATCAGAATTTATGATGACTTCTACTCATCACTGAACTACGTTGTGATTCGATCTTATGAGTTTGAATCATTATTTTAGCGACAAACTAAATGTAAACAATCATTCGCTTCCTTTCAGTTCGAGTTGAACATTCACCACTGTTTTAATGTTACAATGAAAAACCAACAATATAAAAGGAAAAAAGGAAAAACATTCGAGGGAAAACCATAAACAGAGTGGAGCTCATGGAGGAAAATCCTAAATGGGGCCGAATGTTTGGAGCTGAATGTTTCAACCAGCAGGAGAAGCTCATTTAAATCATGTTAATGTTATGATGTTCACATGTTTGATTCATCATGTCAGCTTGCTGTCGTTTGCTAATAAACACTAATAGAGGGTAAACAAACACTTTAATGACAATTTTTTCATTTAAGTGCTAAGAACTGACATCTTTAATGTTTAAAGTCAGTACATTTTGCAACAAATGACCATCATATTGGTAATGAATGAGTCACTGGGAGCCATGATGAAGAACTTCCACCTGATATATGTTGCTAAAAATTAAAACCATCTTGTCCCAAACTGATGCGGCCTGGACGATCGTGGTTTTTTTTTTTTTTTTTTGATATCCAAAAATTGTAATGGTCTTAAAAAGGTCCCCGTTTCCTTTTAATATATGTTGTATACATGTGTGTGCAATAAAACAGAGATAAAAGACCAACTTTAACTACATAAACAATGCAACACATATTTCAGAGACGGTCTCATTAGACAGCGTGTGATCAGAGAATATATTTGTATTCATTTGATCCACTCGTACAATTGGGTCAWACACAATCAGAAAATCACAAATACAATCTGTGAAACACCAAGTCTGTCAGGCATGAAGCTTGGAGCAGCACTGAGGAATGAAATAATGCTGCCAACAYGAGCGTCATGACCATCGGAATACAAAGTACCAGATCTTAATCTAATAGTGGAATCGGTGACCTCGGAGTGTGAATTGTGGAACCCCAGAGGATTCGGCCGGACGTGAGGACAATATTGTGCGGCGTCTCGTGGCCCGAGGAAGAGGGATTTATGAAACAATAAATTCTCTCCAACTGTTAAGGTCAGAATCGGAGGTCTTGTTTTGGTTCCTTATTAAGACATTTTTTGAGATCGAAGACCGAACTCTGCTTTGACCAGCTGCGCCGAAAACGAGTGCCTCATAAAGTCTGTTGTCAGGACAAACGACCCGAGCCCACCACCTGCATCACAGGCATCTGATTAGYCTCCAATCCCCTGACAACAAGGACAAAAGGGCCAAATTTCTCATCACKGGAAAGCAGCCAGCATCTATTAGTCCGTCTGCTCTTAAAAGCTCTCTGCTAAACTCGCACAGAGATGCTCTTCATCCTCGCAAGGTAAACAGTAATCTAATAAAACTTGTATAAAAAACATTAAAACAGCTTTTATGTGAGGTTTAATTTAGAGTCTGCTCAACAGCAAAGTTTGTCATTTGTCTCTTGAATGYGAGTCCACCAGATTAGGTTCTCAAATGGGGTTCTGTGCACCCCTGAGGGTACTGAAAACAGCCTCTATGCATGAACACCCCAAAATAAAACAATATATATTATAATCTTTCGATAAAATAAGACTCTAACCTAATTCTAAAAATCAGTAGCTTGATCACCTTTGTTCTGTTCAGGCGGAACTTGGCTGGGAAGAAATGGAAACCTGGGGCCCATCAATGAAAAAAATTCACCTTGGACTTAAAGATTCAACAAAAAGCACTCTTTTGTAGATTTTTATAATATTATAATTTATATGCAAAATATGCAATTAGCAGTTATTTTAATATTCATTAAAACATCTGAAGATTCCCAAACTGCTGATTCAGGCCCCACAGTGGGATCCTGACCCTAACTCTGGGACCTGCTGGTTTGGACAGAGCCTGACTTGGCTCTGTGTAGTTGCTTTGAAGCATGACCCAATTATTTCACACAGTGAGCAATGTGTAAAACTTTTAACACCCTTTGGTAAACATGAACAACATGAAGTGGAAGTTGCAAATGATTCAACAAAGCAACTTTTTCCACAGCAGCAGCAGCAGAATAAAAACATAACAAGTGATGTGGACTGGGAGGAGGCTGAGCTGAAGAAAACACCTTCCAACCAGAGCCGAGTTGGTTGTAAAAGAATGAATCAATAGGAAATCAAAGACGGACAAATATTTAAATGTGAAAAAGAGGYGTTCAAAGCTTGCTGCAGTACATTATACATGTGGAGGGGGTGTCACTTACGTTCTTGAAGCCACGGTAAAGGATCTGGAGCTCCTTGCGGGAGAAGCGTGTCTGTGCTTCTAGCTGCTCCAGGCCCTCGGGGCGATGACGGACCGCAGACARCTCCAGCTCATCTTCAACGCTGTCTGAAGAGGAGAAGGACGGAGGTCAGAACCAGCAGCAGATATTGTTGTGCCTGAAAATTAGCTTGATTCAGGCTAAATGCCAACACATCCTGTAACTACATTTTAGGCACMGATTTGGATTTTCGCACTTCAATTAAAAGTCACATACTGTATCACCTGCTGCCTTTCRTGCCTAATCTGATGTTAATTAGTGGAGTTGTAGCTGCTTTACTCAAATTTTGAAAATAGCATTAGTTGTGTGATCTAACAACACTCAGACTGTAAGGGCTACAGAAGTGGCAGCCCGTGGGCCAAGTCCGGCCCACAAGTGATATCCATCGGGCCGGCAATGAGGCCTTATATGAAAATACTTTTTTAGGGATACACCAATATGAAAATTTCAGCCTATATCAATATCCGATATTATAACTGCTGTTATGGCCAATAACCAATATTTACTGATATAACACAAACACACTATTTGTATACATGTACGCACAAACACACTTTCTTCTTTGGGATACTGTAAAACAATGGCCAGACCGCTGACCTGGATCTCTACTTCAGTTATTCCTGGCTGTGCAGCATCACTATCACGATCTAACAGATACCACTCGACCAACCATTTCCCCTCCAAAACAGARACAAAAGGCAACAAGTAGTAAATTAATATCACACGTTAATATTGGCCCATTTAACTTATTGAATACGATATTCTAAAAAAAAAGACTAACATCAGCTGATACCAATGCTAATGCCGATACATTGTGCACCCCTACATTTTTTTTTACAAAATACAATATAGATTTTAAACCAATTGGTATTAAATGTCTACTTTAATGCTTCAAAATAAGCTAAATTTTAAAAGTAAAAGATAATACTAGTTCTACATATTGCAATTTCCCGTAACTTTACCCCCCACACCCCAACTATGTGTTGGGGATGACTCTCAGCTACTACCACACCAGAGTTTAACCCAATATCTGTAAAACTGACAGAGTAAAAGCCACTTTTGTGCTGGTTTAGGTTGATTAACTGTGGTGGCCATCTAGAACTTGGTTTTGCCTTTTGGCAGCAAACGATAATTAAGTTTTGTAAGAAATGACCTAAAACACAAAGGTGCTTTCTTCATCATTGGGTATTCAATGCTTATGAAAAAAAAGGAGTTCCCTGAATCTTTCAGTCTCACATTTTGGTGTATCCAAGTCTGATTTCTGAAGGATAAATAATGTATTGATCAGTAAAACTAATCAGGTGGTAAAGCAGTACAGAATGGGTGAAGAGACATCACCCTTCTGGTCTTGCATTCCTATTTCACTGCATCAGATTAAATCCRGTTCATTTTCCTCCCCTGCARCAAATATGACATCGGGAGTAATTAGCGTTGTTAAGACCCCACAAGTCAGTGTGGCGCTGAGCTTCTGCGTGAGAGGACACAATTAAAGCCAGTGGAATATTTTAATGGGCCCGTAATGATGGCAGACACTGACACAGACGGTGCTGTCCTCGCAGCACCGCCTTTGACTCTCGTGCACACGAGCTGCAGCACACTGTCCAAGTGCCTCGTTAGCATCAGGTGGTTTATTTTGCTCTGCGGTGAAAAGCAGAGCGCGATGAACCGGGAGCAAACGTGGCGCACTCACAGGTGATATTTGCAGAAACATGTAAAAGCTGCTTCATTTTATTCTCATGGTGGTGTCGTGTTTATCKGCCCTATAATCTCATCGTTCCACACAACGGATCCATCTTTTTACAAGGGTTAAAACAAAGAGTTACAGTTTGACTTGGTGCGTACCCTAACCACACGCACAAACACATCATCTCAGACATCAAYGTATCAGAGGGAAGAGCCACTTGCTCTGATTACTGGAGGACAGGTTTTTTGCCTGCTGAGCATGGAAAGAGCCACACGAGTGGAGCTCTCACTCTGYACTTGCCGACCATCTGAAGGTAACCTGGGATATTCAGCATCGGGTCTTAGGTGATTGCCAAGGCAACAGTCTAGGAAGCTGGACGTGCAAGAGGAGGGGGTCCAATCAAGTTCACAGAGACAGATGGTTACTTTGCTGGTTCTTCAGGACAACAACTGTGTTGGGTTAAAAGCTGCACTATGAAAACAGATGAGAGCTGAAGTTCAGTCAATGAATATCACTGCAAAAAATGTCCACCTAAGTTTTAAAATCTTATATCCAGCAAAAAAAAAAAGTCTCTTTGATCTTGCTTTGAGACAGATTTACTAAACAAGAACTGATTGTGTAAAAACAATAATCTTGTTTTCAAATGTGTAACATTATTTGTCTTGTTAGCCTGAAAATTTGACTCAAACTAAGTAAAAATTTTCTGCCAATGGAGTAAGAATGTTTTTCTTGGTAAGATTCTTGAAATACTTGATTTGACTCAATTTTTTCTTGTTTCAAGAATCTTACCAAGTAAAAATTTCTTACTTCATTGGCAGAAAATTTTCACTTAATTTTCACTTAATTTGAGTCAAATTTTCAGACTAACAAGACAAATAATCTTACACATTCTGAAAACAAGATTATTGTTCTTAAATCAGTCTCAAAACAAGATCAAAAAGACTTTTTGGCTGGATATAAGATTTTAAAACTAGGTTAGATGGACAGTTTTTAAAGTGTAAAAACAGATATTTCTTAGTCACCTGTGAAGTAATCGGGACATCTTCCATTATTAAGCACAGTGGAAAAGCTTTGCACCTRAACAGTTAACTAAAACCTAACATCCAAGAAAACCAACAACTACAGGACATCGTCTCATTTGCAGCACCACTCTATAAAAAGTCCTTGAGCAATAAGACCACACCTCTGTCTTAAAGTGAACAAACCCATTTCCCCTCTCACTCGAGGCTACTCTGAAAAATTTATTGCGGGTTTGATGGCAGCGGTGGGGTGATACGATGAGTCCTCCAGCGCTTCCAACCATTTGTCCATCACATAATGATTAATTACAGGTGCGGCAGTCTCGGGTAACGGCAGAGGTGAAGCTCCTGGCATGTTTATAACCAGTGAAACGATCACTGAGGCGCTGATAAACCTCCATAAACATGGGCTGTAAAGGGACGGAGCAGAAACATTTACACCATGGAGGCAGAGAAAATTGTGTCATAAATCTGAAACCTGGTCTGCTGACGTTATGGTGGGTTTTTTTGGGGGAGAAAAATGTGCCAAACATAAAAGCAAAATAAAGATACTGAAGAACTGAAATATGATGAGCTGTATTTTCYATTTGCTTTACTGTTTCAGTTGGTTGTGATGCACTTATGCAAGATGTGCGTGGCATTACCTCACACAGATTTGTGTGTGAGCTCAGGGGACAGCAGCAGCTCCGTTTAAATGGTTTATCATTTCAAAATGCTTTAGAATTCAGGCTCAGCCTAAAAGCTATGAACGTCTTACCTGTTGCACGACTTTCRGAACAATGTCAGTTTATAGAAACTGAGTTTAGTTCTGCTAAGATGGATGAGCTAACAGGAAGTCAAGCAATCTGCTGCCATTTTAAAACAACTCCAATTCCGAATGATTTATGAAGACACCACTGGTACACATTCACACCACCATAAATTTTGTATTACATGGGTATTTATTCAGGGTATTTTTTGAAAAAAAAAACAAAACAAAACAAAACAAAACAAAACAAAACAAAACAAAACAAAACAAAACAAAACAAAACAAAACAAAACAAAACAAAAACAAATGCTTAGTTTGGTTTCTACAAGACTGGACTGGAAGCTAGTCAAACCAGAGGCTAGCCATGTGGATAGTGGTCCAGTAAACTCAGTTACCAGTGAGCTCTATGAGCAGCATTCCAAAGGCTTTTTGAAAGCTCTTTTTTTTCCGAAATYTTTGTGAGCTMTGGCTTCATCAACAGGCTGAATTGCTGCTTTTAATCCTCAGGATAAAACAAAACTTTGCTTTAATGATTTATCACTTTTTTTACACCATTGAACCCAACAATACACAACCATCATGGTTCTCTTGCTCACAGACAGTTAATGGAGTGGGATGCTCCAACAGTAAACTTATAATCTAAAACAGTGGTTCCCAAACTTTTTATCTTCTGACCCACAAAATATTCATGGCAAAAACTTGTGACCCCCAAAT